AACAGTAGGTTGCCAAAGTATGAAAAGTAGGCCTGCTGATATCAAAATTCAATTCAGCATCAGAATTTATACGCTTAGTTCAAATTTCAAGTCTTTATGTCAAAAACAAGAATGAAGGTCAAATTATATAAAAAAATTCAAAAGTAGGTCAGTTGATATCAAAATTCATTTCGGCATCAGAATTTACAAACCTAGTCCAAATTAAAAATCTGAATGTCAAAATAAAAGAAAGTAGGTCAAATGGTGTCAATAATACTAAAGTAGGTCAGCTGATATCAAAATTGAATTCCACATCAAAAATTACTCAAATAACACCCCTGGTCCAAATTTGTCTGTACATAAAATACAAGAAAAGTAGGCCAAGCGATATCAAAAGTAAGCCAATTCATATCAAAATTAAATTCACACACGTTTTAAGAAATTTAGTGTTGAAAGTTGAATATTCGATCAACTGCGTATAAAAATGGCTAGAAAAGATTCAGTAAATAATTTTGAAATTCGAGCTTACATCAAAGCGCGTATGACATTTGGGTTAAGTGGTGCAGCCATTCATAAAGAATTTTGTCGTATTTATGGACCATCTGTGGTTAGTGAAAGGACAGTTCAAATATGGATTGTTAAGTTTAAAAGTGGAACGGAGTCACTAAACGATGCTATTTGTAGGGGAAGAAAAACACACAGTGGTCACCAAAATCAACATTAAAAAGGTGCAAGAACTCATAAACAAAGAAGCGCGATATACAGTTTCTGAAATAGCTAAGTACACTGGCATTTCAACGGGAATTACATTTACGATTCTAAAGAAGCACCTTAAAGTTAAAAAGATTGCAGCCAGATGGATACCACATTTATTGACTGAAAAGCAAAAGCGTGAAAAAAGTGCCAAGAAATTATTGAAGATGTTTCCCAAATATAACGATCGTAAATTTTCTAACATTGTAACTGGAGACGAAAGCTGGTTCCACTTTTTTTGAGCCCCAGGGAAGGTAAATAATAAGATATGGGCCACCAAACATACTCGTAGGCTCTGTATAGCTAAAAGAATGACTAGCACAAAGAAAGTTATGTATGCCATGTTCTTTGGTATACATGGTGTAGTGACACAAGTTCCTATTCCAAAAGGTCGTACAGTTACTGCAAAGTTTTACAAACGAAAAGTGTGAAACAAAGTTGACAAATATTATCGCCAAATACTGGTATGAGAGGTTTGTATCTACTCCATGACAACGCTACTCCACACAAGGCAGACATTGTTAAGAAATTCTTTGAGAGCAAACGTGTAACTGTGCATAATCACCCACCATACTCGCCAGATTTGGCACCCTGCGATTTCTTCCTGTTTCCAAGATTAAATAAATACCTTCAGGGCCGCCGTTACAGCACCAGAACTGGACTTGGTTCAACATTACATTAGTTGTGTAGGGATATACCTCAAGAAGACTATAAAAAGCATTTCAAAATTGGATCAAAGGAGATTACTTTGAAGGTTTAAAAAAAATAAAAATGGTAGTTGCTTTAAAAGTTTTCATTTTACTATAGCCCCGACACTAATTATTGAATACTCCTCATATTATGACCATAGAATATCTTTAAACTATAGCTTGAAGAAATGCCATGACCTTGGACATTAAGCTTTAGCCTTAACGGGACCAATCAAATTAATATGAGCAATTTTAATAAAGACTACTAAAAAATGCTACAGACAAGGTTTGGTGATCATCCATCAAATATTTCATTAGGAGATGATGTTCAAGTTTTTTTCTATTCTTAGTTTAAGCGGCCCGTAAAAGGGGCCAATCAAATTAATATGAGCAAACCTGATAAAGGCTACGTAAGACTGCTACAGATAAAATTTGGTGATCATCCATCAATTATTTCGGTAGATGGAGCGTTTAAAGGTATTTCTATTTTTAGCTTTAGCTGCCTCTAAAAGGAGCAAATCAAATTAATATTACCAAATTTGATAAGGACTACATAAGAATGCTACAGACAAAGTTTGGTGATCATCCATATATTATTTCAGGAGGAAATGATGTTCAAAGGTTTTTTTCTTCTGTTTTTACCTTTGGCGACCTTTAAAAGGTGCCAATCAAATTAATATGAGCATACTTCATTAAACACCATCTAAGAATGCTACAGACAAAGTTTGGTGATCATCTATCACTTAGTGCTGTAGAAGGAGACATTTAAAGGTATTTCTATTATTAGCTTAACGGCTCCTTAAAGGGGCCAAACAAATTAACATGAGCAAACTTGATTTAAAAAAAAACTACCCAATTATGCTCATCTATCAATTAGTTCTGTAGAAGCAGACGTTTAATGGTACTTCTTTTTTATGCTCCCCGAAAAATTTCGGGGGAGCATATTGTCGGCGCCTTGTCCGTCTGTCCGTCCGTCCGTCTTTCCGTCTGTCCGTCCGTTTTCTTGTCCGGAGCATAACTTGAAAACCCTTGGAGATAATTTGTTTAAACTTCATACAGTGCTAGAGGGCATTGAGGGGGAGTGCAGTGTCAAAGAACCATAACTCTATTTTGCTCGGTTTTTGAATTATCTCCCCCCCCTATAGAAAAAATCTTGTCCGGGGCATAACTCTAAAACTATAAGAGATATCAACATGAAACTTTGTAGGTGAATAGATCTCAATGGGTAGATGTGCAGTGCATAAGAACAATAACTCTTTTTGTCCTAATTTTGGAGTTATTGCCCTTTGTTAATTTTAACACTGAACTTTGTCCGGAACATAACTCTAAAATTATAAGAGATATCAAGATGAAACATTTTGTAGGTAGATAGATCTAATTGAGTAGAAGTGCAGTGCAAAAAAAACCATAACTCTGTTAAGCCTCTCATTTTTGAATTATCTCCCCTTATAGAAAAATCTTGTCCGGGGCATAACTCTAAAACTATAAGAGATATCAACATGAAACTTTGTAGGTGAAAAGATCTCAATGGGTAGATGTGCAGTGCATAAGAACAATAACTCTTTTTGTCCTAAATTTTTGGAGTTATTGCCCTTTGTTATTTTTAACACTGAACTTTTGTCCGAAACATAACTCTAAAATTATAAATGATATCAAGATGAAACATTGTAGGTAGATAGATCTCATTGAGTAGAAGTGCAGTGCAAAAAAATTATAACTCTGTTAAGCCTCATTTTTGAATTATCTCCCCTTTTAGAAAAATCTTGTACTGGACATAGCTGTAAAACTATAAGAGATATCAACATGAAACTTTGTAGGTAGATGTATCTCAATGGGTAGATGTGCAGTGCATGAGAATCATAACTCTGCCTTGCCTAATTCTTGAGTTATTGCCATTTGTTTATTTTTACTTTTTTAATTTGTTCGGAACATAACTCGGAAACCATAAGAGATATCAACAAGAAACTTTAAGTTGTAAGTTGATAGATAACAGTGATTAGAAGTGCAGTGGAAAGAACAGTAACTCTGCCGTTCCTAATTTTGGAATTATTGCACTTTGAACTTTTTCCAGGGACATAACTCTGAAACTACAAAGGTGTACTTTCCTGTCTCCAAAACCTATTCGGGGAGCATCACCCGGCTCAAACCGGGCTCTTGTTTATCTTTAGAGGCCACTAAAAGGGGCCTATCGAATTTACATGAGCAAATTTTATACTTCACAACAGCAGGTGTCAAATGCCGTGTGACAGCTGTAAAAAGTTGCCCCGTACTTCACTTCAGTGTTGTTATATTTTCTGGTTCTTCGGGATCATTGATGCCAGCACTATTAAGTGTTGAGAATTGAGTACCGCTCTTGAGTACCGCTCATGCCGGTGCTAGGGGGCGTGAGGGATGTTGCACTTATTCAGTATCCCTCATGTACAGACTCAATCAAACCGAGTCTGCAATTCTCTTTTAATTTTGTTGTGATTAATGCTTTGTTTCCAGAATTTGATAAAAGACTACCCAAAATGCTACAGACTAAGTTTGGTGATTATCCATCCATTAGTGCTATAGAAGACGATGTCTAAATGTTTTTTTTTATATTTTTAGCTTTAGATACCCCTAAAAGGGGCCGATCAAATTAATATTAGCAAACTTGACAAAAGTTTGGTGATCATCCACCAATTAGTTCTATAGTATTCTTAGCTCTGTTGACTCCTAAAAGGGGCCGATTGAAATGACATGAGCATACTTAAGTGTGACTGTCAGAAATATGTTACAAACCAAATTTGAGGAGATGATTGTTGACGCATGACGACGGACGACGGACGCCGGAGTATCCCCCTTTGATATTAATAGCACACCCTGAACCTTCGGTTCTGGTGAGCTAATTATTAAATGGTATGTTATACAGTATGTATCAAGTTAATCTGGTGTATGTAATATAGGAAAATACTTGTCAATTTCTTTTTCTAATAAAGCGACGTTTCTCTTGAACATTATACCGAAGGTACGCCATGGACACACTGTTTTGCTACACTGAGTATAATACTTTTATTTAAATTAAAACAAGCAATAACAAGCAATTACATGTTGTTAAAAAATATTAGCTACATAGGTTTATTTACACATTTTTAATAACTTAACCTCTATAGATGATCTAAAAATATCCATCATATATGGATTCCGTCAGCTTGTTACAAATAATAATATAGGTAGATTACATGGATATCATTGTACATCTTTTTCAAAAACCTGTTAAACACTTCAGCACACAACATTAACATATTTTTTGTTGCCGACTGCCTTTTCAAATGGTTATTTATTCCCCGACATCTCTTCAAACGCATATTAACATAATATAGAACCGCATCTATGTCAATTCATGGAACTTCCTTCATATATCGTAACAACATAAATGATGGCATCAAAGATAAGCGACTTATTTTTGATATGACGTAACATTGTATAACAAATTAATGTCCATAAGACAATCACATGTTTACACAACATAAAAAATAATAGGTATATACATGGAATAACAGTTTGTACGATTTAATGTTGGAGCCAATGTTGTCAGACAATTTTGTTTGTTTTTCAATAATGGCCTTTAGTTAGACATAGTCGACCTGGAATAGTTGAACGATGCATCGTTGTGTATACTTCTGTAGGAGGGTTGGTGTGGGGAGAATATGTTCTTGGAAAGGTAGCAGTGGTAATTCCATTTTGTTTAACATGAGTTTCATTGACTTTTTCTTCGTGAAGCTGTCGTTTTTCCGATGACTGAATCTGTAGTTCTACTTGCTACAGGAAGAAAACGAGTATTCAAAAACATATATTTTTTGCTATTTCAGTAGTAAGAAACCTGCACAAATTTTTGTTTATCTTCAACACTGTGAAAAAAACTTGCTAAACATTTGCATATAATAGTATAAACATTACGACAAATTTGAAACACTGTTTTTGGAAATACTCTAACAATTAGAACAAAATAAAAAAAATATTAAGATTTTCATTTAAGACAAAGATATTTGGACTATTATCTTTGTACATTTGTATTTCAATTGATTTAGGTATGTATTTGTCATATGTAATTACACGTGACAAAAAATTTTGTGACAAGATAGAAAGGCAAATATCTGTCCACATGTTTTAAAATTTAACAGAAATCAAAACTTTTATTTAAATAACAAACCTGCAATTTATATAAGAGGTTTTTAATAGCATTATCTGTATCTTCTATTTTGTCTTGCAATCTTTGTTGTATGAAAGTCTGTTCTTGCTGAATTTGTTTAATATAATCAATAGACTCCTTCAAAATTAACCCCTTCCTTTGCCTTGAACGTCTAGAAATAATAGAATTATGTAGGTAATACTGATTGTATCTTGACTTGCAACTATAATTTGGCTTAAATATGGTGGCTGATTTCTGCATGCGTTACTTCATCTTGTCGCAGTTAAAGGGACAACAACACGATAGAACGAAATAACGCCCAAAATTCTCGTTTTATCGTTTTGTCGCACTGTTTTTGTTCTTTTCGGTGTGATGTCGCCTTCCCCAAAGCCTGCGAAGGTATTTTACACATATGCCTATTTACTACAATGGATAAAAATGATACTTGGACTTCATTACAATGACAACGTGCCGTAACGAAATTAACATTTCCTCGTTCTTCCGTATATATGCACCTATGGAACGCAATGCGACAGAACGAGATAACGATATACGATTATTTAAACTTCGTGTTGTCGCATTAAAATCTCGTATTAATAATTTTCGTTTTGCCGTGATGTCACGTTTGAAGGACAAAACGATAGAAGCAGGGTGACAAAACGAGAATTTTTATTTTTGTCGTTATGTCGTACTTCCATGGTGTCGCCCCTCCAACCGCCACAGAAGAAAGCAACGGCATGGCAGAAATCAGCAACCATTCTTAAAATATGTAAAAAGTACATTATCCTAGCTTTCATTAAATTAGATTTCTTGTGTACGTTTATAAATAAATAGAGACTCGTAAAAGTATAAAAAAGAAGCAGATAGTGACAGAGATAGAGAGAGGGAGAAAGAAGGAGATGGAGAGAAAGAGAGGGAGTGAGAAAGTGATAAAGATCTGTTTTACTAACCGTTTGGCATTTCCTGGAAGGAAGCTTTCTAGCTCTGAAATTTTCTCGTTAATGTATGCCATTCTCTTCTTCTCTACTAATATTAAAAACAGAAAGTAATAAAGATTGCATTATGAACCACACTTTCTTTTCTTCAAATTTCAATACTCATATGTTAGAAAACGATACCTTTAGAGATCCTATATGTTGTAATTGAGATTGTATATCTCACGTCAGTAAATTTTATATATGTATATAAGTATGCTTATTAAACAATTTTCAAACATCGAAGAATATGTTAAATTTATGCATATAATATGTAATCATTTAAAAACATGCATTCATTTCGTATTGAAAAGTTTAGTTTAGACTTTATAGAAAATAAATTTCTAATTACTTCACTTTATTTAAATGAAATCTTAAATTCGGTAATATCATTTTGAATAATTCGTTATCGTACTCACAAAATTGATAAATCTTAGTTTGAGCATCATTTTTATGATACAAAACGATAAAAAATTAGTGTTACATGATCCTTATATGATATTTATAGCTATATGGTATTACACAATATTCCCAAAGTATATATTATATTGATAAACGAATTTAAAGAACAAACAAAATGCTCTTATTTTTTACAGTTCATATTGTACTGTGTATAACTAAAACAAAGCAATTTTTATGGGGAACGAAATTTATAAACTAGCTCAAAAGACTATAATTTGTATTTTACTATATAAAGGTAAATTCAATAATAATAAATGATATTGAATATGAAGATTTGTCACACTTTAATCCCGAAAGTTTGAATGATATGATAAGAATTATTTACGTAAAGAAATCTTACTTCTATTGTGTGATTCTTTCCTCTTTTTCTCCTTGTCTTTTTGTTGCTTCATAGGTATCATTTCTACGTCCAGTCTATCATTTTTGGATGATTCAGATAAATCATCCAGCTTATTGACTTCGTCAGATATATATATATGTCTCTGTTTATTCTGTCAGAATTCTTTGAAATAAAATCAAAGTAAAGCTTAAATTTTCATGATTATGTTTCATTGTATGAGTTTGCATTTTTTGTTTTGCTTTGTGTGTTTTTGTTTGCACTTACGCTAGAAAAACAACACATGACATTCAACAACGGTGTTGTATCAATTTTGCAACATATAATGTTTTGTAATATACAGTTAAAGTACTCGTTTCAATAGTTTTTTTTTTAAATTTTAAAATGCATATTAACAATTGTTTTCACTGTTCAAAATAAATATACTATAAAAAAGATTCAGATACATTAAAAAAGACATGCCTATTCTATAATTTGAATACTTTTATATAAACAGTTATATTCCTTTTGAATTCAAAGTGTAATCTTTTAAAACATTGAATCATAAAACAGAAAACAATATTGTGAAACACCATCCAAAGACAAAATTTATAATAATAACACTAAGTATAAAAATAAAAAAGGCATCATATTTGCAGATTACACATGTCACAAAAGCTTTTGTCAGAGATTTGGGCAATATAGAAATGCATATAGAAGCTCTGGACAATATTCTGACAATATCTGGATATTTTATCATCTCTAGTAGCCTTGACCTTGTAAAAATTAATCTTAATTACATGTGTCAAACTTGTAGTAATCGAAGTTCTCATTCGTGTTATAATCCAACAATAAATAATGACTAAATGGTCCCCGTACAAAAACTTTGACCTCTCTCTGTGACCTTGACCTATTGGTAGCAGTGACTTGAATTATGTGCGCAATACTTAGCTTTACTATATTTGTCAAGATAATGACCATTTGTATTTAAATCCCTCAATAAATGATGACTAAATGGTCCAAATACACATTTTCATAATTTTTATCTGAACTTTGACCCCTATGTATGACATTGAACTTAGCCACAGGCACATGAATTAAGCACATGGCAATCAGTTTTAGAATGGTTAACTTTAGTGCAAAATTACATTGAATTCCCTTTATATGCAGATAGAAGTTTTGCTAAGCAAAAGCCTTTTTCAATGACCTCTCAGTCTGACCTCGACCTATGACCTAGAGGCCTAGTTCATAGGCATGACACTGCTTCTCATAGTGGAAAACAGTTCTATAAAGTTTGATTAGAATCCTTCTATATCTGTATTAGATATGCTCTTGACATAATCTCTATATTAAGGACCTTGACCATGCATTTATTCTCCTGATTATAATAATTAAATGTTGCACACCCGTAGTCATGATACTGATCATTTGTGTTTTGATCCCTAAATAAATGATGACTTAATGGTCCGAATACACATTTTCATATTTTTATCTGAAATTTGACCCCTATGTGTGACCTAGCTTGACCTTTGCCGCAGAGACATTTTGCACGCGACACTTTACTTCATAATAATGTAAATTTGTGCAAAGTTTTATGGAAATTCCTTAATGTATGTAGAAATTGTTTTTCAATGACTTCTCAGTGTGACCTTGATCTTTGACTTAGATGCCTGGTTCATGCGCATGACACTGCTTCTTATAGTGGCTATCATTTCTATGAAGTTTCATTAGAATCTGTTCATATATGTAGAAGATATGACGAATTCTTTATATCTTATCACCTTTGTTCCCGACAAGCATTTTGAATGACCTTTAAGTGTGACCTTGACCATTGCACTAGAGACCTTGTTCATGTACGCGACACAGCTTCTCATAGTGGTGAACATTTCTATGAAGTTTCATACACATTCCGCTATACGTGTTTAAGATATTCTCCGGCCAAAAAATGGACGCCATCCGGCCGACAGTCCGCCCGCCCACCCGGGGGACTATAATATGACCTGTTTTATAAACTGGCAAATAAAAATGTAAAAAAGAAGTTAAGTACCTAACCTACAAGAATTGGATGCACCTGTTTTGGTATTGTTAATACAATTGTGTGTGAATATAAGGCAATTAAATAAGTTCCGCACCAAAAAATGATATGCCATACATGTCAATTTCATAACATTGTTGTGCATAGCATACACATAACAAGTTTTGGCTTCGCCAACTTAATGAAATATCAGACCAAAACATCAATTACAGACGACCAACGCATAAAATAGACTTCGAATTAACTCGTTTTAAACAGTTTATCCTATGTAGCAATGTATGGAATAGTTAATCAGGAATACATGTAACACAGCGTACATTTATTTAGAAGCCGTTCGAAAGATTTATTTGGATACGCTAACTTCACACATCCAACTTAAATGCATCCTATCTACTTTATAAATTAGCCATTTCAACGTATAATACATAACTCATAAATAAATGATTCAAACGTCGCCTGTTAAAATTTCAGTTGCATACATGTTTAGTCAAGAATTTAAGAAATCATTTTTCTACGAATATACGATTTAGTTCACAAATGAATTCAACTTTTCAAATTTACGATTTTAACAATACTTATTATTTGAATTAAATTTTAATTGTTGAAATCTTAAAATAATGACGATAAACTGTTAATTTAAAATTGATAACTTTATAACTGATAATTCATTAAACTGAAGTCGTGAAATTGTTAACTTATAAAGTTAAAAATTTAAACTAATGAAGCTGAAGTGGTAAAACTAGAATCCGTGAAGTTAAAATCGTGAGTATGTGAAGTTGGGGTCAAGAATTCATTAAGTCAAGATATCAGCGCAAGTCCTTGAAAATTTAACGTTATATAATGAGATTTATATAGTATCAACGTACATTTACTTCTTAAGTACTGAGTAGTGACACTTTTTCATAGTACTTCTATTTAACTTTATAATGCACAGTTTTGGGAAAGTGTCTTTCTTCTGTTTGGTAGTTACACTTCTTTTGTTGTTGATTTGTTTAAATTTGTTATGAAAGAAAAATGAATGAATAAATGAATGAATGAAGGAAGGAATGAATGAATGAATGAATGAAATGAATGAATGAATGAATGAATTTATATCGTCATTCTTTAAAACATTTTTTTTTCTTTTTGATAATTGCAGGGGCGGGGTTCATTATTCACTTCTATTTTAATTTTTTTTTTTTTGTATTTGTTTTATGCTTACAAAGTCTCTGAAATGTGTTTACCTGTTTATTTGTTTAATTATGATTCAAATGACAATGGCAAAATGTTAATTGATAGTTTGATACAAGGCCTCAGGCCAATATAAATATAATTACGGACGAAAAAATTAAATTTAATATTGTATATGTTTTTGTGTCAAAAGCTTACATCACAAATCTTTTGAAATAATTTAAAATATCACCAACTCGACACGTAATTTAGATATCTGATTCATATACACTTTGATTAATGTAAGTATTTGATTTTTAAATTGCCATAGGCAGTATATGTTTTAATCTAATTCCGCGTAGCGGATATGGGAGTAAAGAAATGGCCTCCGTCTGTCAGTCCGTCAGTCTGTCAGTCCGTCCGTCTGTATGTCCGTCCGTAACACTTTCATTTCCGCTCCAAAATTTTAAACCGCTGATTTTTTTTTAAATTAAATAACTTGGCACAAGTTATCACCTTAATGAGACGATGTGCAGAGCGCAAAAATTGGGTTGCTACCCCAAGGTCAAGGTCACACTTAAAGGTCAAATGTTTAAAAGCCTTTATTTCACAATAAAAATTCTACATTTCATGTCCGCTCCATGACTTTTAAACCGCTGATTTTTTTTAGAAATAGTTTGGCACAAATGATTGCCATTATCAGACCATATGCATAGCACAATAACTGGTTTGCTACCCAAAAGGTCAAGGTCACACTTAGGTCAAATGTTAAAAAGTCTTTTTTGCGTCACAACTCTATACTTTTTAACCGCTGAATTAAAAAAAAATCGCACAATTGATCACCATTAAAAGAACATGTGCAGACGGTAATAATTGGGTTGCTACCCCCAAGGTCAAGGTCACACTTAAAGGTCAAATGTATAAAGTCTACATTTCGTGTCCCCTCCATAACTTTAAAACCTCTGATTTTTTTTAAATAGCTTAGCACAAGTGATCACCGTTATGTGATGTGCAGAGCACAATAAGTGAATTGCTACCCCCAAGGTGAAGGTCACACTTATAGGTCAAATGTGAGAAAGTCTGAATTTCGTGTCTGTCAATAACATTTTAACCGCCGCAATGTTTTTAAGATAACGTGGCAGAAATGATCAACATTATGACACCTTTGACAGAAAACAATAATCAAGTCACAACCCTAAAGGTCAGGGTCACACTCAACGGTCCAGTGTTAAAACATCAATTTTTCAGTTCAGCTCTATAACTTATGAACAATTCAAAGGTTTTTTATAATACTTGGGACTAATCATTCCCACCATGACACAATCTGCAGAGAGCTCAACATCCAGGTTGCTACACCCAAGGTCAAGTTCATATGTTCTCCATATCTTTCTGACTTTATGGAAGATTTTAAATAACTTGGCCTTTAATAATCACCATCGTGAAACTTTGTGCTTATGATATGCATGACACAACATTAAGGTCATGGTTGGTAAATGGTCAAGAAGTACATATTCATTTTCACTGCGGGAGGGGATTTAGCATTCCTGCAGACTGCCTTGTTAATTATAAATAGGGCTAAAAATTACACAAAAATACGAAGTATAATTTAATTCTTTGTACATACCTTTATTTTATCTATTGCATAATTTTCTTTTTGATCGATGTTAAATTCAAATTTTTAGTAGGTTTTTTGTTACATGTGATATTTTATATTCGAATTAGCCTTACTTTCAATATGGTTTGTAAAGGTTTACATGGAGAAGAAGCCTTTTATTATGCATTAAATCACATATGATTCATGAGCATTATATCAATTAAAAATACGATCAATTAAATAATATATGACAAAATGACTAAATTGAATATACCTCTATGCAATTATGTATATAATCTCTTTCAATAAATAGGCTTAAACGTCTTAATGATTGTATCATTTTGTATCTTTTTGGAAGAGACAATGTAGATATGCA